AAATTTCAGTCATTCAGTTGAAAGCGAGAATGATTGAACTTATACATAGCAAAAATCGAGAATTATCTGGCCACTTCTGACGCGACGCTAGCACGTTAGAAAAATACTAAAACTGGCTCATAATTAAGTTAGTCACCTTAAACGCGATACTCAAAAGGAAGATAATTTCTAAATTTAGGACATCACAAAGATTTTGGATAGCCCTCTTAGCCTCATATCACCTTCTACTAAAAACTTCACACTGCCTACGGCAGCATTTCTACCCTTTAGGTATACTACAGCAAGAGAGAATGAGTTAGAATGAGCTAAGCTTGGATCATTCTCTCTTGATACTACTAGTTATTACTAGGGGTACCTTCCGGCAAGTGCCAACGAGGCAAATTCGTTTATCTTTTATGGAATGTGCCTATTCAGATCTTCTTTCATAATTTTAGAGGTTTAAAATGGATTCCGCTATAGAAAAGGATGGCACCCAACTTCAAAAGAACAACTTTGGCACATTCTAGGCTTTCATTTTTATTAAACAGTAACAACATGGCTTGAAGCTTTGTTGGTAAATACGAGCAAGTTAACATCGCCCAGAATGCTATTGTCTTTTGCGACATGTACTTACAGTGCGCAGTGAATAACTGAATAAATAGGCTTTCGGAAAGCCAGCTAAATACCGACTACTCTCGTAAAAGAATCGGTAGCTGTCAATCAAAGGGTTTAATGCGTATTAAAAGTGTATTAGTTCTGACTGCGTGCGACGGCCAGACAAATATTTGTCAAATGGCAAAAGAAATGAGCGGAACACTTACCTCTATTTCATCGTTGCGTTTCAGTTTCGTAAACCGATCAAAGCAGCTCATATAAAAGGCGCGCTCTTTTACTCGATTTGTTTCCATTGCGTTGGTCGCGGAGTTAAAAATAATAAAGAGTTTTGTTATTTGTAAGACGAAGGAGGAGAACTAAATGCAAGAAAGAATATTATTCTCTCTTGGTAAATGACATTTCATTTTGACATCAACGTTTCATGGAAAATTCCATTGTATCAAAGCTTTAAACGTTAGAAAGAAAAATATAGTTCAAATGAGGCCTTGGACTGCTGAAATTAAAAATAATAATTAAATTCCGAGCAACAGCGTCATCAGGGATAAGAAAAATATTTTGCGTGGTAATATGCATAAGAGAAAAATTGGTGTAAACTAAAATGTGTGAAAAGCGAGCAAGAATGGGGCGGAATGTATTAGAGGTATAAAAATATAAACTTGGGTAAAATACAAAGATGTAATGAGCGAGTGTCAAAGGACAAAGAGTCTCTTGAAAAGCATAATGATAGTCTGAAAAACAAAAGGTCCGCAAATTCGTTGCATTCCTCACGGGAGTTTTGGGCAGTCTCAATGTAAATCGAGCAGCAAAAAACATGCTGGTTGACAAAATCTCTCGAAAAACATAAATAAATTCAAAAAAAAGGTCCGCAAATACCTTGCTTTCCTCACGGGAGGTGAGGACTGGCTCTATGTAAATCGACCTGCGAAGAAGACGCTGGTTCTGATATAAGTTTTGAGAATATAATCCTATGCCTTGATCAACTACCGCTTAAAATTCAGTTCACATTAGGAAAAGAGAACACTGAAAACCCTGGTTCTGAGTCGAGAAGCGAACACGCTACCTCAATATAAATAGAGCTGCAAAGAACAAGCTAGTTCTGACAAAAATTTGAGCGTAAAACCCTATTCCTTGATCAGCTGCTGCTTTAAACACAATTTATAAAGCAATCCAGAGCACTAATTGCCCTTTCAAACTAGAAATCGGATTAAAACTTGCTCACCTGTTAGGTCCTCTTGAACAGACAACGAACAGCTGCACACTGAATCACCCAATCTTGAACCATGAGTTATAAATACAAGACCATGACGTCACTACCCAAATATGTGGTCTTACTTACACCCAAATATGGTCAAAAATTCAAATTTTAGAGGGTAGGCAGAATTTGAGAGTTTTTGCCTACATTGCGCGGCGTTATAATTCTTTCGCCGAGTCAACCTCGCTTCTTAGTTCGGTTGCCTCGTTGGCAATAAATAGGCGAATCTTTGTTTACACTTTTTGATGACGCTAATAATACTAAAAATTTTCTGAATATAGGGTGTTTTCACATGACGTCACGAATGAAATGGGCGCTTATTCGTGGTGGGCGTTAATTCGAGGTTGGGTAGCCTGACATCAGTATTTATTAAAGTACAAAGTCCGTATTACATCACCGTACAGGTTCCAAAGCAAAAAAGGCTTACAACTTTTAGAGAAAATATACATTTTTGCGAAAAATTGAATGTGTCCAACTGGCGGCACATCAAAGAAATTGGAATTTACCAGTTAAGCCAGAGAGAAGATGTTTGAAAACCTCAGGATCCTAAACAACATGTCAATCAAAATATCACTTAGAGCTTTTCGCTAATGAAGAGCTATCACGCAGCGAAGCCTAAATTAGAGATATCGAAATAGGAACTGATCATGTCAATGAGAACATCACAACTGATTGTCACGTTCGCACTCAGTGTAAGTAAGTAATTAAGTAAGTAACTTTATTTAACCACATATCGCATATGAGCGATAGCTCGTTTAAATGCAAATGTGCCATAAAAATTACAACGTGATAATTTACATAATCTACATGTACAAGTAATGAATAAAAATAAGAAATAGAAAAATTAAACCAACTAAAAGATAATAATAATTTAAAAAGAAAAAATATTGGTAATCAGATTGTCTATTTACAAAATTCACAGTTGCAGTCATACGATGAAGACAACTGTATGTTTTGTAAGTTTTTCCTAAAGATAGAGAGGGACTCCGACATCCTTATTTTGTCTGGTAGACTGTTCCATTGTTTGCCAGCCTGGTACGTGAAAGAATGTTGCATATAAGATGAGGTCGGTCTTGGAAGAACAACCTTAAGATGGCCCCGTAGGCTGTAACCATTGCTTCGCAGTAAAAACATTTCCCGAATGTAGTTCGGTGCCTGGTTATAAATGCTATTGTATACAAGTATCAGTGCTTGTTCTATGCGTCGATGTTCCAAGCTTTTGATATGTACAGTTTTAAGTAGCTCTTCATAAGCAGTCGACTTGGAGTAGTTAAGAAGAGTCCTAAGAGCAAATGCATTGGTTGACTCTAGTTTTGCAGACAAACCTTTACTTAGACCTATGAACCAATCGCTGCTGGTAAAAATCTGGTACATGGGGATATGCATTTTCTTTTCTAAGAGAAAGGAATCAGAGCTGCATTTCAGGAATAGGTTTTCTCAGAAGCATATAACCCCGAAGCGTATAACTCTGTCGCAAAGCTCGGGTTTTTTAGGGAACCAATCAAAATTTACTTCCTAATATTTTACTGGTAATTTACTGGTAAGCGAGATTGTCGCGCGAAACTTTCATCGCGATGTAAATGATGCAGTGCAAAAAGCATTTACTGTTTTAATACGAGGTAATATTTTACGAAAAACGGAATACAGTATTAATCCCCAAATGACCGCAAATGACCACGACTGAGTTAGTTCCTCCTAACAATTATTAGCGCAGACAACCTTTAAAAATCACTAACTATCTATCTAGAATAGCTAGTAACACATATTTTCAAATAAAATTCAGTAGCTGCTGAACTCGAAAGTAAATATTGCATAAAATTCACTGATATCTTCGCAAAAGTGATGCGTGTAATAAGATTTAGGGCGCTTTCCATTTGTCAGAACTGACCGCGGCCAGCCCATTCCCATCGTAATAAGAATTTCACTTTTAATTAAAACTCACCATCCAGATCAGTTAAATCCTAAATATTATGCACAAAGGAGATGGTTTTTCAGCAAAACCTCTTGAAAAAATCCTATTTCATTGCCAAAATGTCTGGTCAGGCCGGCCAGTTCTGACTTTTGGAAAGCGCCCTTAGATACCGGCGATCATGTTTTCAACTAATGTTATGGATGAACAAACAGAAAACAATAAAAAAATTGTTTCTTGAAAATTTTTATTCGAAAACCAATACGTTTACCATTAAAAGCAATTCACGTAACACTGACTGGATCGTGGATCTGTTCCCACAAGTAAAATCGGCTGAGCAAAGGGCAAAAATTAACACTTTAATATCTGTCTCAGATCGGGCGCATTTCCCAATTTATCTTGAAAACTCTATCAAAAATTTATAAAACGTCTATGAAACATCTATAAATACATAAATTTCCTTTCAATAACGTTCTTTCCTTGAGCATAATGTGGAAGCTAGACGCTTTGGGGTTATACGCTTCTGGTTTTCTTCGGCCTAGCTAGAAAACTTCAGCTTATTTTTTTCTTTGACATCTTCATGGCGCATTTTATAAAGGTAGCTTTTACCGCTTTATCAGAGGAGAGGACAAAATTTCCAGGAGAGAGGCATTCAATTTTTACCCACGAGGTTACAAAGAGAAAATGCAGTGATTATTAGATTTTAGTGTAACCATCAGGTATGTTCTACCCACGAGGTTACAGAGAGCCGAAATGCAGTGATTATTAGATTTTAGTGTAACCATCAGGTATCAGGTTCTACGCAAGAGGTTACAGAGGCCGAAAATGCAGTGATCATTAATAAATGTTAGTGTAACCATCAGGTATGTTCTACCCACAAGGTTACAGAAGGCCGAAATGCAGTGATTATTAGATTTTAGTGTACCCATTAGGTATGTTCTACCCACGAGGATACAGAGAGCTGAAATGCTGTGATTACTAGATTTTAGTGTAACCATCAGGTTATTCTACCCACGAGGTTACAGGGAGCCGAAATGCAGTGATTATTAGATTTTAGTGTAACCATCAGGTTATTCTACCCACGAGGTTGCAGAGAGCAAATGCAGTGTAGTAGATTTTAATGCAACCATCAGGAAAAGTTTCTCCATAATAGAACAGTTTTTTGCTAGGGTTTAACACGTTTTGAGTGCAAAGGCCGGTGCCAGAAATTGTCATTGGTCACTATCGCTCTCGCAGGGCAAAACAATGGACGACAACGTTGGCGTTCCTAGGACGAGCGAAGGATTATCGGTAGTGTCTTCGTTATCTGAAGTCAGCGAGCAGATCGCCATCGTCGAGCACATCCCGACTGACCCCGAAACGGCTGCAACTGCTGTCTTCCACACAGGCGAAGAAGTTTCGAGTGCGAATGTTGGTGGCCATCCGCAATGCGAAGTGCAAGTTGTGAAGGTCTCGAATGGAAATGTCAGCATCAGATTCGCTACCCCAGCTGCAGCAGCGTCACACATTGCAGCTTCACAGTCCACACTGCAACCAATCCAGGAAGTCATTGCAAACAGCCCTTCTCATTCAACGAGGTCTTCCAGTCCGAATTTGCAAGATTCGCAAGTCGTAATGACGATTCAGCAAGCCGAGCAAGAGGAAATGTCCGGCGCAAATCAACTCCAAAATCGCCGTGGGGAGGAGCGTTGAACGCAGAGGTGCTTATTGTGCGCTGTCGAAACGAAACAGCAGAGTTGTATAAAAATAAGCTAGGATCTGGAGGCCGTGGAAATGTATAAAGGTAAGAATTTTGTCAAGCTCAACACTGTTTCACTTAGCCCTTATTAATTAAGCTTATCTTGTAGTTTAAGGCAGCGTGTGTAGTGTACAGCGGTTGTATGAGCAAGAGTGCATAGCGTACAGCGGTTGTACGTGCAGGACATACGGGAACTGAACAGTGTGAGCGGGCGTTGAGTGAGTGAGTTGACTTGGTGTCGAGCAGAGCAGATGAACGAATAAAGCGTTCGGTTTTATTTGCCTTTGTGGCTGTTAATACTCTACAAATTGGCGACGAGGATGGCGAATTCGTCGGAAAGAGCGCTGCCTCCAATTGATCTGTCTGGTTCAGCTTCGAAAGTCGCGGAAAGGTGGAGGCAATGGAAGAGATCGTATGAATATTACATCGATGGAAAGGGAGTTACACAAGCCGGGAGGAAGAAGTCGCAATTGCTTCACTTTGCAGGCCCAGAAGTACAAGACATCTTCAAAGATTTGGTAGACCCGGGACCGATTAACGCAACTACGGACGAAGTGTATAAAGTTTGTATTCGAAAACTAGATGCTCATTTTCGTGCCGATGATAATATACCGTATGAACGACACGTGTTTCGTCACATGGCGCCACTGTCAGGAGAATCCGCCGACAAGTTCCTGGTCCGCTTAAAGAAACAGGCAAGACATTGTAATTTTGGCGAGGCTTTAGGCGATAATCTGAGGGATCAGTTAATCGAGAAGTTGTCCGATATCGAGTGGAAGAAGAAACTGCTAGAGGTGAGAAATATTTCGCTTGAAGATGCAATGGATAAAATTCGGCTGTGGGAACAAGCACGTGATCAAGTTACTGAAATGACAAATCCAAGTGAGGAAACCGGTGTATCTACTAATGCTGTGGGAGCAAAGAAGGCATATGGCAAAACTTGTTTCAGTTGTGGAAAGGAGGGTCACTTCTCTCGTGATAGAAATTGTCCTGCGAAGGGAAGGAAGTGTTCAAAATGTGGAAAATATGGCCATTTCGCTCGCTGTTGCAAGACTGGATTTAGGCAGCATTCTGCCCAGACAAACCCCAGGACGTAACTAATCGATAGAAATCGATCATCGAAAATGTAATCGATTAATCGATAATACTCGATAGTACTCGATATTTGTCGATTGATTAGTCAAATTAATCGATTGAAATCGATAATCACGAAATTTTTGTCACATCTACGGAAATCCAAAATCATAAACGTGATCTGATCTTATCATAACACTGAGTAACACTTACCTTCAAGCTTAACTTCGAATGTGCTTTGTTGATAAAGATGATGTTACTTCTCTCTCCAATGGTAGCTACTTTTCTTATTTTGTTTCACCAGGATCACTGCTGTAAAGCTGTTTGTGTGTACTGTGTACTCGCTCTTTGCTGTACTTACGAATATCAAAGGAAAACTTTAACGCGCATATGTACTCTACAATCGTCAGAATCGTGGTTAATATCCGGAGCCACTACTGTGGAAAATTGGCAAACTGTCGTCAGTTATCCGAGAACAGTAGAAGGGTATTTTTCGATCGCTTACGGGGAGGCACATGGTGGCTTACGGGAAGTAAGCCGCTGACCACAAAAACGACAACCTGTCTTATTAAAACAACACCTTTAATATTTGCCAATACATACACTATAAAAGAACGAATTATGGTAAATTCTCGAAAACGTTTAGAGGATCACAATTGTGGAACGACTTACTAACCGAATTGAAGGATAACAAGTCAAAGTATATTTTCAGAAAAGGATCAAGCAATTGTTTCATAATTATTAATGTCTCATGTTTGTAATATGCTGCTAAATTCCTAACTTGAGCCACCATGATAAGTGAATTACAAAAAAATTGTATTAACACTGTAGGGGAGTTCCCCTTAGAAAAGCGATCACAAGCTAACTGATGTAACAAGATTTGAATGGCAAATAAAATTCTGAATAAGTCACGGAAAAACTGATCGGAAGAAGACTTAATTCTTGCTGTATTGTCCAGGCAACTAAGAACCTTCTTTCCTCTTCCTGCGGTGGTTGTTAAACCAAACTATAACCTATGGAGAGGAAATATCCATTGAAATATCAAACCATCTTCCGTTGAGGAAATCCAAGAAATACACTCTTTTTTATAAGAATACACCATTTTTAAAGGAAAGGGAAAGCTGAGCTTTGATCAGAAAATGTATCGACCGGAATTAAGAACATCTTAAGACAGGGCTTAAGTCCAATTTTAAAACTTTCTTATACAAAAAGAGTACACAGATAGCATTGTCAAGAGGGGGCCAGCGGTTGTTCATGATGCAAGTATATTTACTAACCCCCCAGAAAAAATCATTTGAAACGCCGCTTTGCTGGCATTTCTCTGTAATTCTTAGTTCAGCAAACATGTTTTGCTCTCCGTACACCGTCATCTTATCGTTTCTTGTAGCAAGTGCTTGGTTTTACTGTTTTTTACGAGTTGAAAGTGCCCCTCAGAGAGATGTCCATGATCTTAATGAGGAATTACGGCAACGTGCTTTTAAACCGCTGTGTTCCGTTGATGATTTCAAGGCGTCATTGACATGTCCGTTGTGTGGAATAACTCTGCGTTATCAAGATAAAGCGAAAGCAGTGTGGCTGGTAAAGTGACCTACAAATGAAAACTCTCATAAAATTAAAGCCGGATGGTACCTGGATGCGGACAACCACGTTGTGGCAAGTAAGCCAAAAGGTAAGCGACAGTAACTTACTTGTTGCTCGTCGATTTTCAATGCATTAGCGGTCCTTTGAACGACACCTTTGTCAGGAGCACCCCCCGAGGACAAAAACACCGTGTCCAGGGTAGATAACTCTAGATCAGAGTACTTCTTTCGCTTTCTGCAGGGCGTATCGGCTTCTTCCCCATCTTCATCATGTAATACTGCTTTCTGTTTTTTCGCTTTTCCGCCTTAAAAGAAAAGTAATTTGAATACATCTTGTAACATATTTGGTGAATGCGTTTTACTCACTGGTATTGGTATTTCCGGTGGTTTTGAGGTGTTATTTTTTTTTACCTTTCTTGGAGACTTTTTAGCTACAACTCCACGTTGCCGCTTTTCATGCTTTTTTATTAAGTTTTATACAACACGTAACATAGCCCATATTAAAAAGAAGTGAACGGTTTATTGAGCTTACCTTCCCGAAATTGTTCTCGCAGCTCTTTTTGTTGCTCTTCACTCTCTAAGAAATCCTGTAGTCGTTGCCAAATTCCACGGCCATGTGACTTGGGCATTGTTGGTGGTGCCTTGGTTAAATAATCGGAGAAGGATCCTTGCGATCGATTCAACACTTTCTCGGCAAAATATTTTTGCGGCACGTTGTTCCGCTGGAGCCAACGGCTAACTTTTGCGGCGATCTCCTTCGGTATAAGCAGGTCGTCACTTCCCCTGCTTTCAGTACTTTCCACATTTTCAGTGACATTTTGTGCTGGATCAGAATTCAGAGACGCATTTCCACCAGCGGCATCTCCATCTAGATTATTCGATATAAGAAAGACTAACTGAAAACCTCGGCCAGATTGATGTTGTAGAAAGCCGGCGTGTTTCACTGATTTTTACTTACCACTCTCGACGCCTCCTCCTTTGCCTGTCACAAACTGCCTCAGATCATCCAGATATCTATCCTCGATGAGGATGGAGACTTTTATGACCTTGGGAACTTCCATTTGAGCTTACGTAAATGTATAGTGGAAGAAAAAGTAAGATTGTCAAACTGAACGCAGCTCGTTAAGCACAGACAAAAGTACAGGCGTGCAATTTCACAATCGCGGTAAATATAACCGGAAGTGGAATTTACGACACCCATAACTCGCCCCAGTTGCTTGCGCAACTCAGAATGTTCCAGTGTTTTTTCGCCACGTCAAGGGCAGAGCATTAAAAAACTAAATGTGGGTGGTGTGAATCAGCGGCAAAATAAAATAAAAAATAAAAATAAATAACCAACAAAAACGTTCGGACTTGTATTAGCCCAGGTCTTAGGGCCGAGAGTTTATGGTACATGCGGACCTAAAGCGCATATAATTAACCATCTTTGACTACCACCGTTATGCATTTTTACCAACAGGAAACAAGCTATTGACAACTTTCTTTGGAAAGGCAGCAAAAACAAGAGTCCCCGAAAGGCCACCGCGCTCCCTGCCAGTTACTCCAACAATTGCCTTAGCCACAGAGACCGATAAGGTAGTCTCAGAGACCCGTAAAGAAATGAACATAGAATTTGGAAAACGAATCGGCGAAATGGTGGTTTCAGAAACATCGTCATCTTCATCGTCAGCACATGCAGTACATGCATCAACAGCCATCCCGGTTGAGGAGATTTTCTGTGATGCAAAAATGCAACACGTGGAACGCGCAACAGAGGGAAGAGAAAACATTCAAAAAATGTTATTGTCGTCAGCGTTGTCAAAACTCCAACAGATGTCCTCGTTTACCGCAACAATATCTAATCTCTTGACAGAATATAGATACGACATGTATAAATCCGCTAGGGAAAGAATGGATACGATGCAACACATCTGGTGGTTATCCTTTCAAGATAAAAGCGATTGTGAGGAAGTTAATATACTGACTACCACGTTGATACAAGGCATGGTAGGGGCATATTCTTTAACAGAAAAGTACAGGAATGAAATTGCAAAACTTCGGCTGAAATTAGAATGCAAAGAAGAGGCATTACACGACTTGGAACAAGACCTAGCCGGAAAAAATACCAGAAAGCATTTGCCAGAGATCGCAATTAAACTCGCCGCAGTAATTGAAAATCAGGGTGAGAAGAGTAGCACATTACTATCCATTTTTTCTGACCTACTTACAAACCACATAAAAGATACTAAACGATGGAGCGATGACACAAAGTCGTTGTTTGCAGTTGTTCTGGATTATGGTGGGCCGGCATTATTAAGAATAATTCGACAAAAAATTGGCGGGCCAAGCCTTCAGTCCGCCTACGTAACAGCGAGAAGCAAATTCCATACTCCAACCAAATTAGAAGAAAGTACTTTTGTCAAAGCAGCTTCCTTCTATGATCGAATTGGATATAACGGGCCCTTTATTATCGCTATTGATGCGACAGCCATATTACCTTGTATCAGGGTGAAAGGGAACAAACTGATAGGCATAGCCACTGAAGAGGACATTGTTGTGAAAACAGCTCAAGACATCATTGACATTACAGGCAATGAAAGCATGGAGAAAGCGCGATTAGCCAATGCGTTTGTCCTGACCCCCTTGAAGGAGCATTTTCCTAGCTTTGTGCTTGCTGTTTCTCCTGCTGTTAAGGGCCAGAACTTTGAAACATTTGTTAACTGGTTCAACAGTGCGATAAAATGGGGGGCACAGCAAAATTTGAAAATGTTAGGCATAGGTGCTGATGGAGATTCGAAGTTTAGAAAATATTACTTCGAACGGTTCTTAAAAAGGCGTGAACCATTGCCCAACGTGATTTCGATTCCCCACAAAGGTTTCAATTTTGTCAGTGTTGTCGAGGATATCCACGGATTAAAAGTTCCAACTCTTATGTTTCCTGACTGGAAGCACTTGATTAAGAAATGGAGAAATCAAATTTTGAACGTTCGACGGGTCCTTGTGCTCGGAAACGGATTCCTAATGATAGAGGACCTAATGAGACTGTATGAAGGAAGAAAATTGGCCAGTTGTTTATGGAAGAGTGATGTTTTTGTAAGGGATAGGCAGAACGTGGATGCAGCAATCCGGATTTTACAGCCACAGGTAAGAAAGTGCTTACAAGAATGGAATGATCAACGCACGGAAGCAATTCGTATTTATCTCAAAATTGGATACAACATGATGAGAGGTTATACAGAAGAAAACCTGTCCGTCAAAGAAAGAGCGAAGTTAGCGTGGACGGCGGTTTGCTTTGTGCGTTTATGGAAAGCATGGATCGAGATGTCAAGCTATACGATAGAATCATCCTTTATATCCTTGCAAACTTATAATGATATGATACTCGCGCAGGCCATACACTTGTCATTTCGATGAAAATATTCGCCGAGCATTTCCCTGATGAACATTTCCATCCAAAAGTTTTTGGTTCGGACAGCTACGAAAGACTGTTCGCACGTCTGAGAGGTTTTTATCGAGGCAAATCAAATTTATGCATGATAGACATACTTGACATTTGTGGGAGAATTTTGAAGTTGGAGGAGCTAAAATGCAAAGACGTTTGTCACAAAGAAACGCCAATGTCCTGGTCTACGACTACAGAATCTACGACTACAGAACAGGACATACTGAGCGGGTTACGAGAGGCGGAGAGGGAAGTTTTGAAAACGGTCGAGCGATTGGGTATGTTGCCATTGCTAACTGCTGGAAACATCCTTAGGAAAGACAAGGAAGGTGAAATAACCTACCTGAATCCAGGAATGGAATCCACTTTAACGGATATTGGTTTTGAGCCCGATGAACTCGATTCTATACCGGTAGAGGAACTGATAGAGGCAGAAAGTGACATTTTGTGCTCTGTTGCCGACGAAATCGACCATAGTTCAGCATATGCCCTGTCAGATATTGCTGCATCCGCCCAAACATCCAGAACTACGCAAGCAGAACTGCTAGAGGATGAGGATGATGATGACGACCCGAGTCAGTGCCATTTATATCAATCGGGAACATGCAAATACATGGATAAGAACTTCAGGGCACCAGCAAATACTCACTGGTTGGGTTGCGATTATCCAGGGTGTGACAATTGGTTTCACGAATCATGTCTAGGAGTTAAATTCGCATCTGATTTTCAAAGGGAAAACTATGCATTTGTATGTAAAGCGCATGATAGTGTTAAAGACATATTTCACAACCAAGTAACCGCAAAAGCAACGCATTATAACATTCTAGATGAAGAGCTATCTGAGGTACAACCACCCTCAAAGCGGTTAAGAAGAACGCAATACAAAGAAGGTTCCTCGCTGTTTAATGACCAACCGGTGCGCCCAAATTACGTTGAATACGAAGGGGAATATTATCACATTGCTGAATTTTTATCCCTTCAGCAAGGTAAAGTATACCAGCCTTCAACGTCTAGAATGTCTCGCTGGATGGCAGTTTCGAGAAGCGACTTCTATGATCGAGTGGAAAAAATTGTCTCGCCAAATAAGATCGATTCTGGCCTCTATCTTGAAGACATTGCGGCGTTCTGAGTTCCACGCATTGGTCTAAAGTGCGGCCTAGTCTTGCGAATGCTGCGTAAGACGTCAGCTAAGTCCGAAGTTCCAGTATTCGAGTGGAAAAAACAAAACAAAAAAGAAGAAACACTGAAATCGTCTGTTTGTCTCTTGGTGCTTTCAGCCACCAAGATAGAAGTAGGGAAGTGGTCATTGTCTAAAACAAAGGAGATTTTATGGACTGAATGTAGCTCGCACTTGTTAACCTTTCACGAAGTACCCGAAGTTCGACTTTGGCCAGTTTCTGTAAACACTGAACACCTAGAGGATATTTTACCTGAGCTCGAAATAGCTGAAAGGGAACGTTTACTTGCAGAAGAGAGACGTCGAGAAGAAGAGAAAAGGAAAAAGAAAATGGGAGAACCAGAAGATATGTCTATACGTCTCCTCAAAGAAGTCCTTGACGACCTTAACGTTACTTATAAAGCGAGTGAAAAGAAACGTGACCTTATTGCCAAAGTTCGCCAAGCCCGGGAAAGGTTGCAAGAAAGTCATTCTCAACAAGACGCACCCTGTCATTTTGCATTGTATTGTAACAATGACTATACGGATGACCAATCGCACTGGTATAACAGCTGCGCATTCAAGGCCTCTTTGTTCCCGTTGATTTATTATGACGAGAGAAAAGAACGTTTTCTACATCTTTTATTCCAGTTGCTCTTTCTTTTTGAGCTCCTAGCCTTATACTTGGAAGTGCTTCTCTATCAAGAAGTAGTTTGTTTTATTGTTATGGTTTATAGTTTGTATCTAGGTTTGGTCAGATGCTTTCTTATTATCCTGCTGGTTATTCGCCAAAGTAAATTCAGAAATGCTTTGTGGCCTGAACATTGTAAATCCGCCTTGCCAAGCTTAAAATGCTGTGTAGATAGCTTTGTTTGTCATGGTTTGGAGGTTTTTAATGTTGAAATTTGAAACAGGATCGAGAATAGGACTCATGAATGATATATTACAGCAAGCGTTACTTTGTGACCGGAAGGCGGAGATGACGGTTGCGTTACGGTTGCCTTGTTTCCCGGGCCTTGTTTATAGTCTGGAGGATGTTAATGTTGAAATATGAAACAGAACGAGAAGAGGACTCGAGACATCGTAACAACAAGCATGACTTTAATTGTGAAGGCGGAAACGATAATTTCGTAACAGTTGCGTTGTTTATGTTTTAATCCTTTCAGTTTCAAAATTTATTAAAAATCCCATAGTCAATCTTAAATAAAGTGCAAAGGGAATGTTTATCAGTTCAGTTTGGACTACTGTGTATTAGTTCGAATCTGTTGTAACTTATTCCAGCGTAAAAACTGAGAACTTTATGAAAGAGAATCTTCGTTCATTTTCTTTTCGATCATTGTCGAACAAATCGATAAAATCGATAGCTAATTACAGAAATCGATCAACATCGATAATCACAAAGACGCGAGTGATCGATTTCTATCGATTTCCGATATTAATCGATTGATCAATATCGATTACGATCGATTACGTTCGATTTCTATCGAGTATCGAAAATATCGATTAGTTACGTCCTGAAACCCTGCGAAACAGCCTCCTGTTCATCGCCGTGGTCCTAGACAGCTGCTTCGTGGAAAGGGAAGAGAAGCCAACCTTGTTGATGAGGTTACACAGTCGAGTGAAGATAATTCATTTGTTTTACTATAGAAGAACAGACATGTGCCCTATCAAATGCAAGTGAACCAGTTGTTACTGTGAAGGTTGGTGGAATTAGAAAAGAAGTATTAGTTGACTCTGGCTCTGCAAGTAATCTGATTAGCCAGGATGAGTTAAAAAACCTGCAAAGTCAAGGATTGAACATTCGATTTTCGCATTGTGAAGTTTGTGCTTCAAAACCTCTTTGCTTAATGCCAGATTGCTTTCCCATAGGCTTAGTTAACTTGCAAAATGGTTATAAGCAGATCGCTTGTTGTTTATTTGACCAAAGTCAAGAATTTCTATTTGCAATTTTTATTGCGCTTAGCCTTAATAACTAATTATCTAGTAGGAATTCCTAACTCGTAAGACGGAATATCATTAATGAAAATATATATGAAATATTGTCACAGGAACTTTTAACGAGATTAAACGACATTTTGACACCTTGTTCGGAATTTCTATCATTGTTTAGTGGCATTCTTGATGACTGTTCCGACAGAGCGTTAATTTTATTAGCATTTATATTATTATCAATAAAGAAGCGTTGGCTTGCGTTTTGCCGTTATGTAAATTAAAAATGTGTTTCACTGTGTCTTTTGTATGGCTGCGCATAATTTTATTCCATTTAAGAAGGAAGTGTTGAAACTACTGAAGATGCATCACAAGATTCCTGTAAAGGCCTCTATTAATGTTTAACAACACAGTTACTCCCATTCCCGTAGCTTTTTTATACAGTTAAGTTGGCTACCCCGATCAGGAGAGGGTGGGGGGTGAATAAATGTATTTACATTCGGCGGAGCTAAACGTAGTGGCAGTGACAGAGAATGTAAATACTTTCCTATTGGTATGAACGCACGTGAGCCGTTATGGCGTTAATTGACTCTATAGTTGTAAGGTATTTAAGGTTTTGACAGTTGTAATGTATTCATCTCAGCTCTCGAACTATCAAATTTTAAAATGCCGTCCGATGATGATCTCGCGCGAAGCATTTCCGAGCTCAAAGACGAGTTTCGATCTGGTTTATCTTCTTTAAAGAGAGAACTTGCATAAGAACACGACGCTGCGCTGAAGAAGCTCAAGACAGCTACTGCTAATGTTCCGAAGTTTTAAAAGAAAGGCAACGAGAAGCAGTTCCTACTTAATTCTGAAGTTCTTGAACACGTCCAGTCTGCTTCGACCGCCCTTCAGGCGTCTTCGCCTCAAGTTGAAAAGGCCTTCGAAGAGTTAAAGGAAAGTTCCAATTTTTCGAACCCTTTCGTTGCCGTCAATTGGCCTAAGGCTCACCGTGGTTCGCGTGTTGGCAGTGTTGGCAGTTTTGGCAGTTTCGGCCTTTTCAGGAATCAGTGCCCCGTCCTTCAGGCGTAGTTTTCACCTAGCCAACCTGGGAAACGTACGTGATGGACTCGGATGTTGGTGCACTCGTCGAGGACACAGATAAGTTAAGGAATTTTGTTGAAGATGATTTTGACTTTTTTTGAATATGAACAGGGTCGTAGTTCTACTATCGTTGTAGCCGGTAGGCTAAAATCCCATATCATTGTTCAGTTTTGGCGTTCTATAGGCGCCAGTCAATATATTCTAGATTTTATCGAGCATGGTTATCTTATTCCTTTCCACTCTAGTTATAATAAGTCAGCTTTGACGCATTCTGATTTTGTTAACGAAGCTGTTTCCTAATTGTTGGTTACCAATCGCATTTTTGGATCGGAGGTCCTGCCCCATAACGTCAACCCTCTTTCCGTTTCTGTTCAATCATCTGGGAGGAAGAGGTTGATCTTGGACCTTAGGTTTGTAAATAAGCATGTCTGGAAGCCAAAGGTCAAGTTTGAGGTTCTTAAGGTGGCTCTGAATTATTTTGACAAGGGTCATTTCATGTTTTCATTTGACATTAAGAGGGGTTATCATCATGTCCTTATCTTCCCGCCCCACCAGACATTTTTGGGTTTTTCCTGGTTTTACCAGGGTAAGGTCCGTTAGTTTTGTTTCAGGGTCCTTCCCTTCGGCCTCTGTTCAATCCCTTTTGTTTACACAAAGATTTTTAGGCCTCTCGTTGTCTACTGAAGGTGGGTTGGTATTCGCATTGTCGTTTATATTTATGATGGTTTAGGGGAGGGGCCTTCATATCCGGTTGCTTTAGACCATTCCACCAGGGTTAAGACTGATTTGATTCGTTCTGGCTTTGTACCCTACCTCGAGAAATCTGTTTGGGTTCCTACATCAGCCCTTGATTGTTTGGGTTTCCCCATTGATCTTTTTCAGGGTTTCCTTTTTGCTCAGGGGATAAAACTCAAACGGGTTCTTTCTGATATTGATTCCCTTTTAGAGGCTAATTGTTGCACTGCCAGGGAACTGTCCGTTCTTGCTGGTCGTATTAATTCCTTTAAACTAGCTGTAGGTTATGTTACAACCGTTGATGACAAAGTTTATTCATATGTCCATCGTCCTTCAGTCTAGTTGGGACTCTAGGTTTCCTTTGTCCGATTCTGTCAAGAAGAGCTTTTTTTTCTGGAAAGAGAACGTTCGGTGTTTGAATGGTAGGCCCACTGGGCGTCACTTTTCATGTTCTCGTTCCATTGTTTATTCAGATGCTAGTGATCTAGGGGTTGGCGGTGTTGTTAAGACCACGAGGGTGTTATTTGTCATCGTCCGTGGACTGCTAATGAAATGTTTCCCAGCTATATTTGTCTCTCTAGTTTTTCCGTAGTTTTGTCAGGGCGCGCGATTTAATGGTTTACGGATAACCGCTACATTCCGTCCATTATTCGCAACGGGAGTATGAAGCGGGGTTTACACGAACTTTCCGTCTCTATTTTTCAGCTAGTTTTGCGAAATGGTATTGATTTGCAGGTGGACTGGATTCCTAGGTCTCTCAATGGGCACGTGGATGCCATCAGCAGGATCGTTGACTTTGATGATTGGGGTGTTTCGTTTGAATTTTTTCACCTTGTAGACAACATTTGGGGTCCACTTCCGTAGATCGTTTTGCCCATTCTAATACCGCAAATTGCCCAGATTCTTTTCTCGTTTCTGGTATCCTGACTTGGAGGGGGTGGATGCCTTTTGTTTTGACAGGGCGGGGGAGAATAACTAGCTCGTTTCCCCAGTGTCCCTTGTTCCCAGGGTTATTAGGCACTTGTTTGTATGTCGGTCCATGGGCGCTATTATTGTCCCCAAGTGGGTCTCAGCTCCATTTTGGCCCATGCTCTTTGGTCCCCATTCCCCCTTTTCCTTTTGCGTTAAAGAGACCATTGTTTTTTACCAATGTTTCTAATATTTTTGTTCCGGGCTCCACAGAGTCTATTTTTTATGGCCCTAACTTTAGTCTCATGTATTAGCCGTCCGTTTGTCGGCTTGTTAGATTTGTGCTTCTAGGCTTAGTTTCTTTTCCGCAGTTACGTGTAGTTATTGTTTAGCCTATATTAACTGTGGTTTATTATTTTTGAGTGATTTGTTCTGTTTTTTCTTTTGCCTCGGTGGCATTTACGCGGGTCTCGGTGACCTCGTTTGTACCTTCACTGATCCCGACGGGTCGTACCGTTACATTCTTGCGTGACCTCGGTCAGTTTTGAATCCTTCCAGGTCCCCCATTTATATGGTCGCGTGCGCCTCGGTGGCCACTCTCTTGTTATGTATCTGTGTGATAGTTGTATGTTTTTTTCACTACATATTACCGCGCGTTTCCTTTTTCTGCTCCTTTTTTCTCGTGCATCTTTTTCATTTTTTAAGTCCTTATATTGAATCCATATGGTCTTTTATTTCTTCTGTTTTTCAGATGTTTTTCGCTAGCCCTATGTGGGCTGAGCTTAACGATGTCAGAGCTCCCTCCCTACGCTGCGTAGCAAAAAAGCTACCGGAGGTAGTCCTTGGTTCCAGGGCAGATTCGACTACTCTCACCTACCTCAACAGTTTTAAGCGATGGCGTGCTTGGGCCAACAGATTTCCCGAGGTCGCAGTGCTGCCTGCTACTCCGGCTTACGTTTCTTCATACCTGCTCAGTGTTCTCCAGGCTTCTAGTTCTCCTGCGCTGGTCCAGAACGCCCTCTATAGCATCCGCTGGGCTCATGATTTTGCTGGTTTTGACTCTCCTACCAATCATACACTTCCCCAGAAGGTCGTGGAGTCCGCTAAGAGAAGGCTATTACACCTTACTTCCAAAAAGCTCCCCATTACACCCGAAATTTTACTAACGTTTTTTCAGAGTCTCGATGGATCTTTGGTGGACACGAGATTCATCGCCATGGCGTTACTGGCCTTTGCGGGGTTCTTAAGATTTGACGAATTGGCTAATCTGAAACTTAAAGATTTAGCTCTGCATGACACCTCGTTTTGAGCTTTTATTGAAAGTAGTAAAACTGATCAATTTCGCGAGGGCGCTATTGTCCCTATTGTCAAGTCTAGCACGATTGTTTTCCCCTGGGGTAATTTAGAGAAGTACTTATCGTAAGCCAAACTCACTTTACCGACATCTTCCCAAGGTGGAGACGACTATTTGTTCGGAAATATTCAACCAAGTCTGGCTCTTACAAGACATTTGGAGCTTGGGCGGATGGACTACAAGATGTAGAGAAGTTTTATTGAAGGAGACTACAGACGTGGGCTTAGATCTTAAGTCTTTCTCTTGGCACAGCTTCAGAAGTGGCGGTGCATCTGCCGCCGCTAATGGTGGTATCTCCGATAGAATGTTTAAGCGCCATGGTAGATGGCGTTCGGAAAACGCTAGGATGGTTACTTTGCAGACTCGATAGAGAGCCGATTAGCGGTCTCTATGTCTCTTGGACTGTATTGTTTCCCGTTCTTTGTTTTCTCAGCCGCTCCATAGTTCGAGCTGCACACCCATTCCCGTCTCTTAGTCGTGAATATAAATAGGAAATGTATTTACATTCGGCGGAGCTAAACGTAGTGGCAGTGACAGAGAATGTAAATACTTTCCTATTGGTATGAACGCACGTGAGCCGTTATGGCGTTAATTGACTCTATAGTTGTAAGGTATATAAGGTTTTGACAGTTGTAATGTATTCATCTCAGCTCTCGAACTATCAAATTTTATTTTTATACTTTACTTTATTCATCTATCGATTGATTTTTTACCTTTAACCCCCAGAGGTTGTGCGACCGCATCGGTTGGGGAATACGTTCCCATTTTTTTCCCATTGGGTTTTTTGGGTTTTCGTATCAGGCGGCGCACGTGAATAGTTTAGCCTGAGTGACTTTATTTAGGAATATTTGTTTACCATTCTTTAGTTATGATGTTGAACTTTGTATGTTATTTGGACGGCATTAAACACTCAGGCTCCATAGTTCGAGCTGCACACCCATTCCCGTCTCTTAGTCGTGAATATAAATAGGAAGTAAGACTCAGGTACATGTTGTGTTTCAATTTATCCTTTTTTCATACTCATGGTCTTTCATTTACACTATTTAAAAAACCGTGTGGCACGAAATTTTTGTGGGAGTTTATTTTTGCAGATTTGCGATTTTTTGTGTTTTGCGGGCACTAATTTTTGCGATTAGCAGTTTTCCAGATAAGAGACACGTCAATGGCCCGACAAACAAGGCTTCATGGCCCGAAAGGTTACATATGAGTGTTAACTTAAATATAATAAAAAGAATTAGCATGTGGTCTCTTGGTGTCCTCTCAGATGGTCTACATAATCCCCCGCTTGAAAGAATTAACTGGAACGCTGGATTAGGATAGATTGGTTTTTCTTGCTGGCAATCAATTTTCAGAAAGAAGCCAGTACCCAGCATTGGTAATGTTTTCGTTTTTATTGAGTACATGCAATAGAAATAATACATCTTTCAAACAATATTACAGTGTGTGCACCCTACAGCTGTACATGTTTGTAAAACCAGTATTTCATTGTATACGGCTTTGTTTCTGAACAAAAGGGATATGTTGTAATTGAACAGACATGATTTCTTAGTACTGTATTTTTTTTTGTAGCAAATTTAAGTTAGAGAATATTTTCTCTGGAGTAAATTTTTGTGGTAATTTTTATTTGCGGGAACTTGTTTTTACGGATGGCTGGAAATGTTGCAAAAATTAGAACCCGCAAGAATTTCATGTCACACGGGTAGAGAGAGTTTGAACCAAGGATAAAATTGATCAGAAGAGCAGCACATACTAGAATGTGCTATTTATTTGTCACACATTCCCTTTGATATAACATGTACATTTACCTGTACTTTCTAAAAAACATAAATAGCCAAACATTTATTTAGTGGTCAGCCTTGGGAAATAGAGTGTTTTCACATGACGTCACGGCGGCCATATTGGTGTTCCAAAACAATAAAACGGTGGCCATGTTGGTGTACCCAGAAAATCTTCTGGGAGTTGAACTCTTTTCTCATGTAAATGCTCTCTTTTCTCCCAATAAATTAGCATATATGCTGGCCACGTGCGTTAAGATGCTCTAGACTTCTGAGTACAGGTTGACCGTTTAGTAAAGGTTTCATAAGTCTAAAAGTTGATCAAGAAAATGAAAATGGGAACTAAGCAAAGTAATATCCCTCACACAACAAATTGAACTCAAAGTGTTTCTAACTCTTCTTGAGTCAAAAGAAAGGATGCAAAAGATCAGAGTACTACAAAAAATCACATTCAGTATTTATAGTGTACTAGCATGGTACAAGTTGACAAAGTGACCATTTAACAGAGGTGAAAGCAATATAAAATAACTTGTTGGGCTTTTGGAAAAAGTAATAGCGACAGCTTATTAGTGACTGCTTAATACAGGTCACTTTTACATAATCAAGGGATTGTCCAAGATACTAGGCTACCCTTGGGGAGTTGGGGCTAACAGATGGCTGACAATTCAGACTGTTTTATTTTCAGGTCTATGGAAAAAATCACATCAGTGCCGAAAAATTTATTGTGACTTATTCTTACTTCTGTTTTAATACATCTCAAACATCCTTATTAATCTATTATTATCCTTTATTATGCTACTTCCTGTACAGTATCAAGATCAGTGGATGACACCCTCATAATTTGAAGCTCGATGTGGGAGGGCATCATCTAAAGATTGGAAGAGGAGCATCGTTACGGTGGACGTACCCTGCAATCGTTGATTGAAGATGGGGTCCTTATTCCTCATGCAATTTCCTGTACATGTGCAACATGCTGTGATGATGATACTCTGGTAAGTTCTCTTTTAAAAAATTGAGTTACCTTTAGTTGTTGCGAATTGTGTTGACTGATGTTTGGGTTTTTCAATGCTAGTGAAATAAAAAGTCTGACAATGCTGGGCTTAGAATATTCACTTTGACATGCTCTTTTACCTCAAACTTTATAGTCGCCAATAAATTATTGTTTTTTGCCTTGAAGGTGTTTTTATATTTTTTACTTTTATTGTAGTCAAAATCTTCATGATTCAAGGCTGCTCTTTAAGAAAAAGTGTAAGGGAGCCTATCGCTCTGAACCTGTGAAATCCAGGGTTCCCAGCATATGGTTTCTATGAAAAAACTATGATTTTCTAGTTACCCAGGAGCAAAGTTAGGTACCAGCGGCCACTGGGTGCTGATAGATCACAGCCTTGTGATCAATTGTCCCACAAACAAGCTGTATTCATGTATGGGTTTACTGATATCCAATACCAATAATGTCTCTGATGTACTTCAGGCTGGACCAATCAGATTGTTTGTCCCTTACAAATGTCGTAAGCGAGAATCTTCACAGTCTCGATCACCAGTTCCCTTAGTTCTGAAAACGCAAGACGCGACGGTAAAGATTCCAGGTTAAAGATGGGTACTCTCAACAAGTAATTTCCAACATTGCAGTGTGTTGATATTTGAACTACTTGCACGCAAAATAGGACTTAAAATGTCCTCTAAAGGTAGGACATAGATATGTACATTTGTTCAACTGTTGTCTTTTATAAAAATGAACATTTTGATTCAGTAGTGCGATGTTAAGATGTTAACCCAAAATTCAAAGCCACCTTATTTCAAAATTTATAGCACCATTGCCTTTCAAGATATTTCCTTGTATGTGTAACAAGGTATCTCAAGTTTAGCTGATGTCTTGTCTTCTTCGTGACAGATCACGATTAAAACCATGTATACATACAGTAGTAGTGTTACATACATACAACGGCGTTGTTAAAATGAGGGTAAGGGTAACACCAAGGGTGAGGGTAAGGGTGAGGGTGGGGGTGAGGGTGAGTTTAAGGACAGGGTGAAAGGGTATGGAAACATAACTGTAGCGATGATCATGCAGCTATCATTCATCCGTTACTCAGCTCACTGGTTTTGTTAAGCACAAAAATGAAATTTTCTCACAGAAATTGCGTTCTTTTGCTATCGTTTTTAAATAGGCTTGATAGTACAACACATCAGTTTTTTTGAGCAATGGAACCTTAAGCTATTTAAAATTTACTTTTGTTCAGAAATGTATAGTAAGCCCGATGATTAAAAGAATTGAGTTCCCAGTTTCGAGAGGGGCACTCAGAGTTAGACAGCGTTAAATTGCGTTGTACTATATCATACTCTTTTGGAAGGTTGCTGTTTCATCACCTTCAGATTAAGGACCCATTGACATTTATCAATTTTTATAAGTTTGTTCCAGTTTGTGAGGTTTGGTACTTTTTGACCCATCAGTTGTTGTTCATGGGAGTGGCCTAAATTAAGGTAACAATGTCTCTTACTTTACAATATTTTTATATCCTTGACTATTCGGTATCTTTGCTTTCAAAATTAGACGTTGTTTTGTCTCTACATATAGATCAAATCTAGGTCGGCGTAACCTTTAAGTTAACACTGATTGGTAAGATTTTGGATTAAGGATATAAGTGAACACTTGAGTGATTATTGTATTAGTCATGATTATCTTATTGGAGCATAGCCGGTTGAAACTGGATTTCCCCCCGTGAAAAAATGGAAAACACCGTTTCTAACTTGAGAAGGGCTGATTATAGTTCGCATTAACTGTTTCGTTTTCTTATTACACCAAACCTACATTAGTTTAACCTACATTAGTACTAACTTGTTTATTAAATTTGATATTGTTCGCAATATCAATTCATACCCCAAAGATATCCCGACAATCTTTCTATATTGATATTTTATTTTTATTATTATTATTATTATTATTATATCAGATATGTTAGATTTGGAGACGAGCAAACTGTACATCTAAGACTTTCCCTTAAAAAAGGCAAATGTATAGTCTTCAAACCATGCCAAGTCCAAGACGTACGAATTGTAAAATTCAAAGAAATATTGGTCGTTGTTCGAGTATAAAGGAGACGAATTTTTTTGAGTAATTTTGGATGGAAATTGTGGAATTCCCATAACTCGAACTTCTCGCCACTGAAATTTTGCCGTTCCTTGTTTTTTCTTATAATAGCAATCCCTCACAAATTTATTTTTTGTTTATGAAAAGAAAAAGTGAACTTCAAGTTCATGATTATGACAACCTGCCCCCCCCCCCCAAAAAAAGAAAAAAAAACAGTACAAGACTGATTCTACGCTTCTGGAGAAAATTCAGTCCCATCCACAAATGAGTGCACAAAAATTGTGTTTTGGCTTTTCATCCCCACATATATTATGAAAACACCCACCCAACTCACAACTTTTATGACAATGCTTTCCAGGTAGATGTAAACATAACTTTTTAAAAATGTTCACTTTATCCGATCTTGCAAATCTCAAGTCGGGACAAGAATGTTATGTTTCACTTCCTCTGTGTCATTTTAGAATATATCGTAGTATGATGAGAAATGTTCAAATCTACATGTACATGTATACGCATGAGACAAATTAAGTTGTAGTTAATTGGCCTCTGATTGCTTTGGATTTGAATCCATAACAATAATGTGCTGAATAATGTGCCGTAAACATGATTCTAAATCTCTCTATTATCCTGCAGTGCTTATTTATTTCTTTTTTTTTTGCCCTTAGTGTTGATTCAGCCCCTGGAGCTTTTGCATCTAATGATGAAGGAGCAGTCAGTGGACACTGGAGGTATGTAATACTGTTTTTGTTTTTTTTGTAAAAACATCAGCATCTCAGCATCTTGAAAACTTAAAGTCCTGTTATGCTAAGCAATTATTTTCTTGAAACTTGCCTCACAGTTTTGTTGTGTTACACGTTGCAAAAAAGAAGAAAAAAGTACCTAGTGTTAAATCGCTTGACATGAATATGACTGTTTTGCATCACAGAAGAAAAGGTGAAGACAGGATATTTTGGTAGCCTCAAGGCATTAAAATTAATAATGATCTGCAAAGTGCTGAGTCCAAAATTCAAGATAAAGAAAATCATATCATTATGTGCTTAAAGATCATCCAAAAATGTTTGCCTAAAGCTTTTGATCCAGAAAGTTTCCTTCAGAACCCTTTATTGGGTAAAGTACTCATTAAAACAGTGGAAAAAGCTCAGAGTTTGTATACCTGTTTCTTTCTCAGATCTTTCAGGTGGTTTGGTGACAGTGACAAGTGCTGTCACAAGTGCAGTGCCACCACATAACCCAGCCACACCCCTTACTCCCATGATGAGTCGATGAGTCGCTGTCCCGCTACCCTAAATCAAGCCGTGCGACCTGGTGAGGCACAGACTATCACTGTCACATTACCAGTCACACCCCTTGCAACAGCTGATGGAATTGCAGACCAAAGACGACACTGGTGGCATATTGAAGAGGTAAATTCTGTCTAATTAACAATTATTTTCCACGAGTGTTTGTTGGATATGAGATGGTAGATAGCCAACAAGGCGTATAGTGCCCAGTTGGCTATTATCATCTCATATTCTATAAGTGTGAGTGGAATGATTGTTTTATTTAAAACGACCACAAAATATCGAGAATTTTTCCTGGCTTTATTTGTAAAAACAACCGATTTTCAGCTTGTTTTTAATGTTAAGCAGAGGCATACAGTTACCATATTTGGAGAGCATGGTTATGATTAACAATTAATGAATTAGGCTGAGTATCTTATGAAGAATTATGGAGATCGAGGAGGGTGTTATCCGTCGAGGCCGTAGGCCGAGGCAGATAACACCCTCCGAGATCTTCATAATTCTTCATAGGATGCGAAAGCCGAATTCAATAATTGTTTTATTATTCATTCAAAATAATTCCTAGTTTAAAAACATAGCTAAAACAAGCTGACCTGCATCGATGTTAAGTTTATCTTCGATAGTTTACATTTAGGTTTGTCCAGCTCCGCAAATATTCTCCAAACAGCAGATGTTGCCCTCTGAGTTGTCTTCCTTCTGTTTTTGCTGTTTTTAACCATTACTTTGCTAGTTCGATCCAGCTTTATAGTTCCTACTCTTGAAACGAGCGAAGTGTCCGCCATTTTAGTTTTTACAACGAAAACAACTCAATCTCGTCCCCTGATCTTCTGGGTTAATGGTGCATTAACCTTTAGAAGGCTCCATTTTTGACATCATTTCCTCGTTAAACACAAAATTCTTCCAAATTTGGTCATTAGTAACTGGTTATGGTGAATTATGCGTGTGCTTTTAGCCAATCAGAATTGGGGAAATATTTTAAATGAATAATAATGATTCATATACCATGATGGCTAAGCCAATCAAATTTCTAGAACTGCATCATCTAATGACTAAGTTTTTAATAATCATGAGTATACCTGGAGATAAATCTAGTAAAGGATCCTCTGCAGCAATGAGACCATTGAGTATTCTGAACAAATTTATGAGTGACAAAGACAAGTCATCATTTTGTACTCATTTATTGTGTAGTTAATGGTTATTGGACGTTACCTTTTGGAATGGGAATAGTCCACGTTCGATATATTAAAATTCTAACAATACTCCAAGGCTTTCTTGTCAAACTTCTAGTTTGCTTTGATTGTCTTTGTGCTCGAGTCTCTTTCTGGGAGTTGTGAAAAAATTATTTGCAATTTGTCCATAAAGCCTTGAAGTCATGTTAGAATTTTAATATGTTGAATGTGGGCTATTCTTCCGATGCTTTGTACACTTATTATTTTGTAGTCCTTGTTTTTTTCTGATGCACCTATAAAAGCAAAACTCATGCTTTTTATCTCTCTTCTTCTGAGGGTAACGACAAAAGGCCTTAGTTAATCCGTCAGCCCCTACTGACTGCCCCTTGAAGTCCCCAGGAATATATACGAGAAAAATCCCATGTTGGTTGGTAGCGGTGATTTAGTTTGTTTTCTGTGGTCGACTGCGCGATGAGCGACGTTTCCCGATAAAAAGAGGCGGGAAAGCGGATTTGGCAGTCTACGTCGTTACAAATGCCACGCGGGGCAAAACTCTTCTCCCAATACTATATAACTTATAACTTTAATTAATCAATCTTAGTTGTTACCAAGCGCATAATTACTGTAAAATACAGTTCAGAGTGCCGAAGCCAGAGGTTTATATGGCATAGGTCAAGGTCAAGAACAAGCCAAAATGTGCTATCACAATGTCACATTCATTCTACAAGTCATTTTTTTACAAGAAGTAGTAATAATATATAAATATTATTAATAATAAACGTTCAGCTAAGGATCTTTGAAATTCAGCTGAAGAGATGTAACCATCTACAATTTTCAGATGAATTTTGTAGATGTGCGATTGCATTAAGTTAGCAACGATGTTCGGGAGCGATGACTTCACCCAATCGTACAATTTGGCCTCGAGTATATCCCAGTGACCTTCAAAATCAACTATTTCAGGAATGTCAGTAGCTGTAGTTCTTTTCAGGACCCATAATGATGGATTTGTGAGATTATATCACCTTTTGAAGCTGTGGACTGAGCAGCCATCTTGGCTCGCTGACCGAATTAATCGCCTTCTCTTATCCAGGTTTCGTAAGTTGAAGGAGTAAGTTAGGACAGGACAAGGACAAGGACACATGTATATGAGCTCTGCTGAAAAAGGTTCGTTAACATTTAAAGGGCGGCAGTAAACGAAAGATCAGATTGTTAAATAGTGGAAAAATGCACTTAGCTTACATCCAGCTAGATTACAGACACTCCACTCAAGTAATTAGAAACAAATAATCCAAATAGAACACACTAACAGAATTAAAAAACCCCAAGGAGGCATCTAGTTGGCTATTTACAAGCATGGCCGAGGATTTGAACTCCAGACGACCGAGAACAAATCCAGCAACTATAGCCAGAGCGGGACTCGTATCTGGAACTCTTGGTCGGGAGTCATTCTCTGCTGGTCAGCCGCTATCTGCATCCAAATCTGAGAAGCTGGCCAGGATTATTGCACCTCTCCAGAGATCGAACGCCACAATTTTGCTGTAGTGCAGCTAAGGAAAGATTGTTATCTCTATTTTATCTCTCATAAATAAGCCTTATTCTTGACAGGTTATCTTGCTTGAAGCTGAGAACGTAACCGAAGGTATTCTACGAAGGACAACCTGATCTTCATACTGCATTTAGAGGACGATCACATGAGCATCTGATCATACCTGCCGGCGGAACCCAGTTATACAATGCGTTCCTTAATTGCAATGTAAACAATATTCAAATGTATTCACCGACTTATAATTATACCTTACTGTTTTTGAATATTTGAGAATATGAAAAAAATTATGCCAATAAAGTCCGTCGTCTTACATCATAAAAAAAAAGTTGACAAGCATCCTTCAGGAGATAGAAGACTAACAGGTGAAGGAGTCTGTTACCATAAAGGACCTAAAGTTCAAACTAAAACTACCCAACTTTAATTTGTAATAAAGGAATCCAAATTGTTTTCAAATGTTCTTTAAACTGTACGCCACGCAAATGGCGTGTTTCACTGATTTTAAGACGAAAATTGTGAAGCAGTGTCTAGTGAGTACGGGGGCTAATGCTCCATCGTAAAAATTTGAAATTGAAAGAAAAATATTGTATAATAGGAATACACGTTTATAGTTATTTTTTTCGAGTTGTGAAAAAAACACAAATTTGTTTCTTCTTAAGTTTGTTATAGTCTCATCCGGTTTGAGTGTTTTCAGTCTTTCCGATATGCGCGTAGGATATCGGAAATTACCGTAAATGATCGATTAAGTGCCGCGGCGCTTATTTCATTTTCCATATTAAAGGTGCGGCGCTTATTTCAACTACAGGTAAAACAGAAAGGGGAATGTAGAGAGAACTCAGAGTTGGGCAAGAAAAAGGACAAATATGCACACCTCGAACTGTTATATGAAACTGGTTTCGAAGTTTCCGTACATTAAAACTTTAGAACTCACGAGTGGGAGTGGGTCTTGTTTGTCAAGCAATATGGTTTTGATATCTTTTTATATCAAGCGCCGTAACAAAGGTAGGGAAATTATTTGTAAATCAAATTTGCGCTGCGGCGCTTATTCGAGAGCGGCGTTTATTCGAGAAGCGGCGCTTAATCGATCATTTACGGTAACTTCCCTTTTCTTTGTAAAAAAAGGAAAAAAATGAAAGATTTTCCCCCAGTCCCCGTCTTAGATGCTTTCATGTGCATTGGTCAAATGTTCTTTTCATAACCTACTATGCTTATAATCGCGCATTCTGACGTCATTTATCCTTAAAAAATTAATTAGTTTGTTGAAGAAACACTGAAGTAAAGGTCTCATGAGGCGTTTGTGATTTTATAAACTATTTGACGCAGTCCTTTTCTTTAAGGCTTATGTCCGTTGGGGAAATTACTACTTGGGTTTTCTTGGATTGAAAAGGGCGGGCTCTTTCTAAACGTTGCGTTGTTTATGGGACCTCAGTATACAGAATCAGTCGATGGCAAACAACGAAAAGGCTTTTATGTGGTAAGTTACAGTGACGAACCTTGCCTCGAGATGGTCATATTAATTTTTGTACGTATCTTCAGTGTTGGTCTGAAAATTTTTGTTATGGATTTGGTTGGGGAGGGGGGAAGAGAGAGAGATCAGAACATCATCATCATCATCATCATCATCATCTTTATTTAAAAACACGGTAAATACATCAGGCATTAACAATTTAATATAAAGCTACAACTTAATACGAAACTATGTATACAGATTAATCTTCTATAATTTAAAATATTGCTAACTATTAAAGAAAAGTAAACTAAATGAAAGCCTGTTTTACATGAATGCCGTGTCGAAATTAATTAAGAATCGTCGAAAATTAGTCAGAGATGTTGCTTGCCTAGCAGCTGAGGGAAGACTGTTTTAGAGAACTGCACCACTATAGGCAGTATACGAAAAGCTATTTCTTGTAATGGTTAGTACGTGGCAATGGTATTGCAAGCTTATTATCAGAATCGCGCAAATTGTAAGAAGTAATCTCATCACTCCGCTGAATGGATTTCGAGGACAAATAATTCGATGCGAGGCCGTTTAAGGACTTATAGACATGCTGTTTAAGAGACATTAAAGCAATGGAAACTGTTATAACAGTCTTCTACAATCAAAATAGTTGCAAATGCTTACGGGAGGCCCTAACTATATAATGATTAGAAGAGCAATATTTGGAAAGGTGCATGGTCATGGGGTTAAGGAGATTTGACTAATCAGCCAATGCAATTTCGCGCCAAACATACTGGTGTGGCCAGTGCCGCCAAAATTGTGTCGGCGCTCGCCCT